AAATCTTTATGACAATGTGATACAACAAGCATATTCTCTGACTTTTACCACAAGCATATTTACATTAAATTTCATTTATTTTGGCAGGACATGTCAGTTTCTGGCTACATCTCCATGTTCTTCCTGTAAGAGAAGCGCTAAGGGAAATAATGCTTTTTTTCCTTGCTTGTATCACAAGGCGACCATTTTTTCAAGCTGAAAGCAATTGGAAACAAATTATTTACATTTACTGAGAAGAGTTGCATGATTGATGCATTTTGAACAAAAATGGGTCTTATAGTGCTTTACTCTTCTCTGTAAGAGGCTCTGTTTTCAGCTAGAAAACGTCTTTATTATCCTTGCAGGCAGTGAATAACAAGGCTATCAATTGAAGCACTTTTTTTTTGACAGTAAGATAGGGAAAGAATACAGATTAACAAGATCAGAGATATCAGGAACAAGTTCTGCCTGTACATACCCATTCAAAGGTCTTGGTTCTGTCTCTTTTGACTGTGAAGGCAGTTGTCTGAGTTTTAAACAACCAGATTATATGTGTCACTTAACTGCGTTGCTTTATGTGCTTTCCTGTTCTTTCAATCTGTTTTTCACATATGTACGGCTAAGTGGTTATTTGCATATTGTCCTGCAAACAGTAATATCAGTGGGAGCTGTAGTGCAGAGTATACTGTTAGCATTAAAACCAAAGAAAGAAGGGGGAGGTCTTTGAAAGAGATTGAATATATGCTAAAGTACATTTACTCTGGAATTCAGTGATGTCTGTATAAGAATAGCTACACTGTGTTCTCCTGTTTGTCTTTGCACGTTACTTATGAGTGTAAACACGTGCGTGTACACACACACTCAAATGTGTATATACATATGCAGATACACATCTGTAAATATGCATATACAACGGATTGGCTGTGCAGGTGGATTTCTGTAGTTTGTGCATTCATCTGCAGAACTAAACATATTCAGTATGTGAATAAAACAGATGTTAATGGGAGGCAGGAATGTACTGGGAGGAAGGGAGGGAAAGGTGCAAAGCATTTCAGACAAAAGTCAGGCTGTGTAGTATGAACAGCTTGAGAACTGCTGGCACTGATGATGCCAGGCTGATGCCAGTCAGATGTATTATGAGTAGCATTCCTATTCCATACTTAAATAGATCATGTCTGTTTATCCTAAATATCTAACACATGTTAAAGCAAGTTTATTATAGGGGTGCTTTAGTGACTCTTAAGTATTTCCTTATTACCTGATCTGTGTTTCAGGGAGTTTGTGATGCATGAAGTGAAATGATTTTTTGATCTTAATTCAAGTAATCAAGCAAATATACAAAAACAGCAACAAAAACCATAACTACCCAGCAATTGGCAACAGTAACATAAGTACAATTTATGGAGATTTTGTGGCATCTGCAATGAAGGAAGTTATGCAGGAGAATAACCAGATATAATAGTTAAAATGACAAAGTGCAAGAGGAAGCTTACAAGACTGCAACAGGAAATTGTTTATCAAAATTAATTTAGAATGATTTTCATATGATTAAAATTATCTGATGAAACTCGTGTTCAGTAAATTAAAGCACTTAATGAATGTTGTATTCCATTGGGATTTATTAATAAATAACATGTCAAAAGGTGAAGCGTGAGATTCATAGCAAAGATGTGGATGGAGGCAAAGGGAACTGTCCTTCTCAGAGTTTTCATCTCTGGGTGGCTCCATCATATGTCTGACACTGTTTTGGCAGCTTTGGATATGATGTTTCAATTTGTGAGAATTAGACAGAAATGGCATTTGGACAAGTCAAGGCTGACAGGAAGCTTAATAAATTTGATGGCATTTCCCTATCAATTTCAATAAGCTCTAAACTATGGCCTCCATAAAAGAATTCTTGGTTCAGTCTCTTATAAGATATCTGGCAGATACTATTTTTTTCCTTGTCTGCACATACCGGTTTGACTCTGCCCTCACTGAATTCGATGGGGCTCTTAGGGGCTAAAAGGTTAATCATAAGCTTATGTGCACCTGTGGGTTAAGGATGCAATAACTTTGTTCATTATAAAAAGCTGTGTTTTGAGGTTAAAGCCGAAATATGCCTTGTTTCAGTGAGAAATATAATGAGAGAAATCATTACACTTAAATGAATAGGAGTACTGCACTTGGGATCTGAGTTTTTCTCTTTCATACAGCCACGAATAAGTTGCCAAATGCAAGAGAAGGCAAGAAACTTCAGAGAAAAAAAAATCTCAACGCATTATTTATACATGATCTTTCTTTAGCGTCAGAAAAAATCAACTTCATCCGTAAATTCTTGACTGACATTTTATGAGAAAAGTCCAATTCAATAGTCTCCCCTAAAACCAAATAAAAATGCCATTCTTCATTCTGTAAGCATCTCTTTCTATGATCCAAAAACCATAAAATCAACGGAAAAACTCAATCTTTTGGCCAGATGTTGTTGCTGTGGCTTATAAGCTCTTTGTTTTTCCAGAGGAGAGGAACCAAGTTTCAGTAGTGTTGCTTAGTTACAGCCTCTCCAATTTTCTTGGAATTCATGGCTTCAACACCTTAGAAAAACAGGCATATATTGTTTTCACTTCAATTATTTATGCAGCTAGTTGTTGATTCCTTTTTGTCTAACCCTTATGCACCATTTCACTAACTCTGCTTCTCCCATTCAATGCTTTATTTTGCTTTTCTTGGCTTTTCCCTGTAAATGCTCTCCAAGTCCTATCACTGGAAGTGAAACAGTTTATTGGAATCCCAAGTGGGCAGGACAAAAAGAATCTTGTTGCCTAGGTAACCCAATGAAATAACCAGATAGTTTATTCAAGTATGCCTGCTTATGTACAGGAACACAGATGAGCATATATATGCATTTAATATTGTTTTCCCTTTCTACTGCTTTCTATGAGTATCCATTCAGATTATACTAATTAAATGTTCCAAGAAATTCTCTCAAACTGACTCATCCAGCATGAATGCCATGAATTTCTGGAAATAATCAAGCCAGGTAAGATCAATATAGAAATTTAACTTTCTACTGTACATATAATAGCATTAAATTTTTAGATCCAATTTTGCTGGTGGATCAACCTAATGGTCTGTTTTCACCAATCAGTATCAAGCTAACACTAAGTAAATTAAGAGATTTACATGAAATCATGTTGAGAAACTGATTTGTAGATGGTGTGGTGCTCTTGCATCAAAAATGTTACAATGAAACAATGTCATCTAAATGTTATTTAAAGTCTGTTAACATAATTTCAGATCAGAAAAAGTCAGCAGTTTCAGTGCCTGGGCTTTAAAGCCAGATGTCCTCTGTTCTGATCTTAAGGAAGTTGGTGTCTGTGATGATGTATGGGTGCTGAGCCCACTGCATAAGCAGAATTTTTTGCTCTTGACTACCACAGTGCCAGGATTTCATGCTCTGAGCATTTCAGTTAGTTCTGTATGAAAGAGAGTGGGATGATCTTATTGCCTCTCCCTGACACTTTGTCTGTCTACTCTGTTCAATTAGACTGTAAACTCTCTGGAGCAAACTCTGTTTACTGCCTTCTGTGGTGCCCAGCACAACAAGGCTTCTCGTGGCCTACAGCAGCCATGATATTTTGAGTTGTTTCTGCCATTAGTCAGGTCTCAGGAGGGGGCAGGTTCTGTGCAGTTTATGCATATTTCAACAGAGCACCAGGTGGATCTATTGGGCACAGAGAAGAGTCAGATCAGTCACGTGCAGGTGGGAGAGACATGTGGCTGAGGTGGCTGCATGCTGTGTGTTTGCCCCACTCCGAAAACAAAATTACTGTCAAAATTGGACACAGTGGGAAAAGCTATGTCTTTCTTGCAGGGGTGTGTTGGTGCTGCTGCAGTTCTAGGCAGAAGCACGTTGTTATGCACAGGTGGTAGGGATCTGTAAAACAGTGTTTACAGTGGAAATGCTGACACCTCCTTACATGTTTCATTTCAGAGAAATAGCACAGATAATTTTCCTATGCTTTATGAGGAATGCATTTACTGTGGAAGTTCTAAATCCCATTAGACTATGATGTGGACTAATGCCTTTCATTTTATGTAGAGTTAAATAAGAAGGTCCCAAATTACTGTCTTGTTTAATTTAAAAATGAAATATTAATTTCTATTCTCAGCAGGTAGAGGAAAGATGTGCTTCAGAGACTTGAGGAAACTCTCAATATCCTGTCCTCTGCCCACCCTATAGTAAACTGTGTAAGATCTAAATTTTCCACAAAACCTATGTGGAACGGTTATTTTGTTAAATTTCAGATAATGAATTGACAGTTCAACATTTGGGAATTTCATTATGACAAAAGAGAAGAGAAAAGAGAATTCCAAAGGAAAAAGAGGACAGGAGATACATTTTCTTTGAGGAAATTGCAAGGTGGGAAGGCAACTGTAGAAGTCTGTGACTATATGGTATTTTCCATTCAATATCCGTGGGCAAAGAAGTTTACTGTGTAATTTTTTTCACATTGATCCTAGTCTATTTATCCCCTCTCCTTGCAGTAGGATGGCTAGGAGCTCAAGTGAGGAAAAAGCTATGTCTGCAGTGTGGGAAATGCACTTGCAGATCAATAGAGCATGATGGACTGCTCTATTATAACCTTATACAGCACAACACTGAAATTTGGTTCCCGTAACCACTGTTAGAGTCAAAAAGCCATCAGTAAACTTCAGCAGGGACTAGTCAACATCCATAACAATACTGAGCTGCTGCAGTTCCATCGGTGGCACGCTGCCAGCATCTCCTGTCGGCATGAGGGAGTCAAAGGAACGTTATATCAGACACATTTTAAAGTGAATAGCTTTGCTCAACTTATTCAAAGGACATGTAGCATTCAAGTTTTAATAAAAATTTAATATAAAAGTAAACCCCAAACTGATCTGTAAGTTTCCCCAAGGGGAAGTGTTTAGTTTTCATTCTCAGATGCAAACTCAAAGAAGGTAGCATGGAAGATCGTGTATGAAAAAGCTGAGCGCATTCAAGTGGTGCAAAGACGTTCACCAGAGAGGAGGCATGCTCATAAAGACCTTTAGTGAATGTCACACAAAACATGAGACTCTCTGAGTACCTTTTTTGTTTTCATCCAAAGATCTGGCATTGTTTAACAAACTGCTCAACAGCCATCAGCGAAGGAGGGGGCCATTTACACAGAGGCAAGCTAATGGGCAAAAAAAGTGACAGTAATTTGGAAAAGTGAAGTTGTGGAGTGAACACCCCTGAGATTCATCTGGATGATGTTGTGACAGGGATCCCCCGCCTGCCTTCAGCCACTTTCTGGAAAGGCAGACAGCTCAGTGACAGCCACGAGATCAGCACAGGAATTTGTTTGGTGTGCCTAAGAGATCAGTAACAGCCGCTCCTAACGTGACTGCGTTGCGAGGTGACAGTGTTTCCCTGGAGACGCTGAATCCATACAGCCCCAGCCCGGACCCTGGCAGGTCACCTCTGCTCAGAGGGTGCTGAACTACTACCCTGTGCAGGGGAAAAGATGGGAAGATAAGCGCTGGCTGTGCACCAATAGCCTTATGCGAGATGCGAGGACTTTATGCAGCAGCAAACCATGTCGGAAAGGTAGGAGGGTGAAAGAAGAGAAGTGAGTGCAGCCATTGCACAGCTGCCTTGACATGCTTTGACAAGAAAGATAGTGTTACAGGATTGAGTGTCTTTTTTAAAATGTACCAACCTGCGTTGCTGGTGGAGATTGTTGGGCAGTGAAAACAGGAAAAATTGTTTTTCTTTCCTGGTTCCATTGGATGATTACTGAAAGACAAAAGGTGTCTCGAGGAAGGTGTAATTTATTATAAAAATGTGCAAAAGGCACGTTGGGATGTGGCATTTGTATGGCTTCCATGATGAGCTGCATGGAATGTTAGTTAATTTGCTAGGTATGTACAATTATGTGAATAAGAACTAATTATGTTAATTGCATCTTTTTAGGGGGCAGTTTTATGATGTGTAAAGCAACATAATTGATGGTACAGTTAGCAGCATTGTAACCGTAAGTCACAGGTTTTTGTCACTAAATTATGCTCAAACAAACTGCTTTAAAGTGTTGGATAATGTCTTATAATGCCTATAAAAATAATTGAAGGGCAATAGAGCATGAAAACACAATGTCCAAGTACTATAGAATTCTAAATTCAAAGGGTTCTTTTAATAAACCTTTGCATACAAGCAACACCTGCTACATAGCAGTAAATTGTCTGCATTTTGAACAAGGCACAGCCTGAATTTTGAGTTTCTTGGCTTTTAAATGCCTATACAAATTGCATTTGCAAGTTAACCCTGCAATTCATTTCTGTTGATCAGTTTTGGCGTGTGCAATTGACTGAGACAATGTAAATAATGGGTGTTTGTATCACACAGGCAATGAGATACGTGTGCCAGTGGTTGGGCAGATCCATCACTAGCTCTCTCAGAGCCTCTGCAAAATCAGTGGTTCTCACCCAGACATACAAATTCTTCACTTTCTGAGGGCTTATCACCCTTTCCTTACTTTCTTTTTCTGAAAGATGATCTTAGAATCCAGCAGATTTCAGTCCTTCATAGTGATCCGTGTTTTTCACTTCCACAGTAGTAGAATGAAAAGGCCTTGGAGCACTTTGCTGTTGCATAACAATCTGAGCAGGCTTATGTTGCTCTGAACAAGAGCACAATGCCTTTTCATCACGTGTCCTCTGGCTGAGCTCAAACATCAAACTGTAGCCATCACCAGATGCGTTCCTACTCTGGATGTCTGCAAGAACAACACTAACAGCCCTATTCCTTGTTCTCAAATCTTGCAGACCCAGAATATCAAGAGCATTGATGATTTATCTGGAAAGTAGTCATTGTTTGGTGGAAAGCTAAGCCTCCTTGGGGCTCCCAAGTCCTTAAAAATGGTTGGGGATAACACTATTGGAAGCTAGACCACATCCCAAAGCTACTCCAATCACCAGGACAGAAGCCTTCCAAATCCTAGTTGCAAGAGTTTTCTTATAGCTTACTTCATCCATCCTCATTCATCTACTTCTCACCCACTGAGCTTTCCAGTTGCTGTTTTCCATGAGGCTGCACTGAACATGTGCTGGAGTGTCTAGAATGTTTCTATATCAAGCCGCCAGCTATATCGGGAGAAAAGTCTTTTGAACAACAGTCCTTTATTAAAGACCAAATACCTAAAATAATATGCAGGAGGGATTATTTTCACTCAGAATATCTTTCAGCAGTCTTTGCTAAGACTTCAGTGGGGCTGAAACAAACCCATTTCACTGACACGACTGACAATGACATCAGATATCTGGGTCTTTCATTAGTGAAGATTTTTCCCGTTAGTTTTTTAAGTTTAGTTTTTAAGTTTCATCTCTAATCATCTTTTATGGGATTCTTAAAATATAGCTAAGTGTCCCTGCTTAAGACATCACTGATGCCTCCCTGCAGACCCCAAGAAGAGAGAGAATGGAGGAAGCTTATTGCCAGTGAGGGTTTCCATTACTGAAATTAATTCCTCTCTCATAAGAATTTAGATCTATGATTTATGATAACCACCAATTTCTCACTGCAGGCAAAGTGAGAGGAAATGACTCAGCCTGGACAGACATCATGAATCTCTTTTTTTTTCCCTAATGCTTGACATAATCTGGTGTGCTGCTCCCAGAGGTGTCATTGGAGATTCATATCCAGCCAAAGGGCTTCATGATCAAGGCAGAAAATTTTGTTACTTTCATGTATTGTGTGGTCTGTAATTGTTTGGAATTGCATCCTGCCTCGTTCATTGTAATTTCTTTCACATCAATTGTACAGCAAAATGGTCAGGAAAACAAAGAAAGAGAGCAGAAAGCAATGTTGCCCTTGATCCTTCCAAAAGATCCTCTGACATAATGTTAGGATCCAGCTGGTGCTTATTAAATTCAGTTTTGAGACGAAAAATGCTTCCTTCTGCCACTTGTTCCTATAAAAATCTTACTGCCCACCTGACTTGAGAAGTGTTATCTATCACGTATTGATTCTGCTAAGTTAGGTTTTATTTTCTATCACCGACACAGAATTTGGTGAGTGGGCTTCTGCCAAAATATCAGAAATCATCCAGCTATGAGATGTTCGCCCACATTCCAAGGGACCAGCAATGTGTACTCATGCCTTGACAGAGGAGACAGTCTGGGTGAGAGGAAGGTTTGGGGAAGTCTTGTGATTCTCAACAGTTACTTGAGTGCATCCTAACTTTTTTTTCCCCAAAAGCTTTGAAGAACAACAGAACTTTTCTTTGAATAAAAAAGTATTTTTCTGTATTTCTCTGGTATGACTTCGCTGAACACACAGGGAAATGAAAGCAAAAAAACAATACCAAGGGAGGACTATGTCTGAGCTCCCCGTGCATTTTTTTAATTTCTTTTCTTTTTTGTAAATTGTAATTTTGTACACTGTAAATCCTCTTTTCATAGGGTTGCTGTGTGTGCCTGTGTGTTGCCTGGTGACTTGCAGCAGCGTACTCATGAAAATGGCCTGTCTGAGGATGATCTCTAAAATGCCCGAGTACATAGCTGTTCTTTTCAGAAATGCTGAGCATGCTCTGCTTCTTCTCAGTCCCTTGTGGTTTATTGTGGCTGCCCTGATTGCATTAAACAAACAACAACAGCGCAGCGAAACCATAAAGCAAGAAGGGAGGAATAATTTTATATGTCAGTACTGTGCGCTGCAGTCAGCGTGCACTTCCAGGCAAGGAGTAACGTTTGGTTTTGATGATGTTGCAAAAAGGCAAAAGTCTTAGGAGGTCAACACAGTAACTAGCTGCATGATTATTTTCCAATGAGTCTGTAATCCTAAGTTTCAACCAGCACGCTGTTTAGCCTGTCTGTTACACTCGATATGAAACTGTCATTACCATCCTCACTAGACCATTTTAAAGCTGCGTTTTTATTCGCCATTTCTGCTCCTGACTGTAATTGTTTTAATGATGCTTTCTGACAGCTGATGCTTTCAGACAAGCTCTCGCTGAGCATGTGCAGTACAAGTCAAATTGTAGTGCTGTATGCGCACACTAAGTTAAAATTATTTTTCTCAAGCATTCCATGGTAAATTTCCAAATTACAGCTGCTAGTCTGCAAATTATTAAATATCTCTGAAGCATACTTGCAGAAATTGCACCGTTTGGAGTATGTAAAATACACTTTTGGCAGTGTTCTTGGGCATAAAATGGCAAAGCCTACCCACACACGACCTCAAGATATACAAAGTTTTGCTCTTCTTTGAACTTTTGATATTCTACTGAAACTTACTTAAAGGATTAAAATAAGCATGCAGCAGAGGAGTTATCTTGTCCTACAATTCAGATCCACAAACACAGGGCTATGCAGAAGAAAATGGGACGTATTGTGATCTTGAAGGTTAATGTTTTTCAACAAACTGCTTCTTTTATGTAAATAAATGGTATTTGTGTGAGAGGTTCCCTCCAGGTACCAGAGGGAAGTGCAGTACCTATGGTTTGACCGGGATCACGAGGCTGTCATCTGGTGCCACGTCCTACCCCTCACTGCTCTGTGCTTTCTATTATTGTCAAATAGTTTGCATTTCTCTGAGCAGAACCTTTTACTGGTCTAACATCTCCTCTCCAGTTCTTCAGGTCTGATTACGAGCAATCAAAAATTCTGTACATCCTATTCAACCTGCTGCTCCATCCTTAGTGACGTACACACTGTTCCACCAATTTTATCCCCAAGCAGAGGATTCATCAGGCAGAGCTGTGACTCAGGGCTATCTTCCACAGTAAGTGTCTGACTTACCAGTCTGATTGCAAGACTACAGATGAGAAACACTGACACACAGTAACTAAGACTGAAATCTCTTCTTCGTCTTTGAACCTGTTATGTTTTGCTCCCCTTTATCTCCCAAAGCTGAATCAAGTCACAAGACTATATGCTACGATGTCAGCAGTGTCAGGGACTTGAGTCAATGGCCCAGGAAGCATTTGAGAACTGTGCATGGAACTGGGTGCAATGGACATGATGTGATAAGTCTTAAGGAGGCTGTATGCATTTGCTATAAAATGTCATAGCTAGTACTGCTCTGAAAGGTAACAGATATTGTGTGTGCTATATTTGAGGCAATGCATACAAGTAATTGTGACTCCAGAAAGGGCAGTGGTAAACTACACCTAAAATGTGAATCCCTACACACTACCAGCTGCTGAATGTGTATGTAGCTCAGCTGTAACTGGATGGAAAATGCCTTGAAATGTTTTAGTGGAAAGGTAAAATGGGCAGAAACCTCATCTTCTCAAACGCTGCGGCAGGTTTTCTGCGTTTAGATTGAATGCGTCATTTGCATTCAAGATATTTTGTATGTAAGATGGTCTATAAATATGATTTCACACTTATGTATTCAGAAATTCATGCCATTGTATCCTCACTGCTTTGTGTCCTTTTGCTGTTAACCAGATGGTTTTAAGGCAGAAGATGGTGAAACCACGTATGAATGTTTTTGCTTCTGCAGTAAGGCCGGAAATATAAGACAACACAGTGCCAAGAACTGGAAAACATTACTGATTCTTTTACTTCTTTGTTTTGCCTTTTTTAAGCTTCCTTCTGATCCCTTCAAGTATCTCAGCTGGTATGACATAGAAGAACATGATGTTCAAGGAAATCAGCTTCATTGTCCCCGTGTGAGAGAAGGTAAAGAGCAAAAAGACGTGCTTGGGTTGAAGCCTTGTCTCTATTCTATCAGTGTGCCGTTAAATGTTAGAGATGATATGGTGGGGTTTACCACTCTTTTGAAAAGAGGCAGGATCTCAGCCCATGTTGTACATCTTTGCTGTTCTTAATTGCTAAGAAAATAATCTTTGTATCTTTTGAAAGCAGGAAAGAAAAGTCAAAACTCTTAATTTAAAATTTTTCAGCATTGCAGTGTTTATTACTACCTCTCATAAAATCTCATTAACATATAAATACTGTTCAGAACACTAAAAGCATATGCCAGACAAGAAACCAAGAGTGAAATCCAGTCCTGCAAACAGTGACACACCTTTTATTCTAAGGCTAAAATGGCCCACTTACGATCTAAAGGTGTAATCAAGAACAAGGAATGAAAGGTGAATTTTAAAACCCAATGTTTGTATGTTTAGGGCTAAACAATGGGAAAACATTCCACATTGCCCTTTAGCTGGAATTTTAAAGGTATGCATAAGCTGTAAGCATTTTGATAGACCCTCTAACTTTTTACCTTCAGTAACACAAATAAATTTTCAATACGGTTGTAAAGCCTACTTGTAGATGTTGTCAATGACTGGCAAGCTGGAAACATAATTCTTTCTCAGTACAATTAAAGTACAAGTACAGCTCTGTTATATAGTCTCACTTGAAACATGCAAACGAATACATAGAGTGTTTTAGAACTCAGATGCCTGTCCTGTGCACAACCATTTAGAAAAAGCTTTTATTCTGAGCTCCAGAATAAATGTCAGTTACTATCCACATGCTGGATCATCACGACCTTAATTTGCTTGCTGAGTAATGGGCCCAGAAATGGCAGAACAACTTCACATTCATTTACTTCATGGAAGCCCGGAAACGTACGCACCCATAACACTAGATATATTCCTATACTTCAGGTATAATTCCCAGGCATATAAGTAATCTTTTAGCAAGGAATTAAATGCCGGTTTCATATCAAACCTACCGTTGTAAATCTTTTCTTTCTGAGCAGGGCCTTGTGAAGAAGAGCTATTTTTCAGAGGAGAAGATCATACGTTGAAAAAAAGAGAACAAGTAACTGACACAGAGATGTGGCAAAAGAAACTGCAGGAGAACTGGGAAAACTGTGCTGTAAAACTTTCTCATTAATTTTTTGCACTATGGTAGTAAATAAACCAAGGAAATGAAGCACTGGCTGCTCCTTGCAGTTAGTCAATTTAAAGCTCAGGTTGGCACCACAGCACTGTAAACCGGAATGTTTTCACAAAATGGAAGAAACACTGGAGTACGTTGTAGTTTGGGTTTTTGAACCAACTCTGCTTTGGTGATAAAGCTCTGTGCTCAGGCATTTAACAGCTAGTTAAATCCTTTGCCTTTGCCAAAAAATTGATGAGTGAACAGCTAAAGAATGGAGTGGTTCCATTTCAGCTCATCCTCTATATCCTCACACCAGTCTGAGCAGTTATTCTGTCTGGAGGTACTACATTATTGCTGGCTCTCATCAGCAATAAGTTATAGCCTCTTTGAGTTCAAGGAGGAAGTCATGTAGGAACTTACTTACTTTACACAGTGTTCTGGTTCTCTCCTCCCTGTGCACAAACACGTGATGGAGAATACCAGTGTTTGACTGATGGAGAGCATTGTTTTCCAGATAATATGTTGAATGTATAAGCCACGATCACATAGTTGTGCACACAGACATCCCCAGTCACAGAGGAAAGAAGCACCTGAAAGATTCACATGACTGAGGGGGAGGTGGGGGGGGGAATGTTCAAGAATAAAATGCTATGTGGGAGAAAATAGAAAAATAACGAGGAAAAGAAAGTAAAAGATTATGGAAAAGACTGTTGGAGAGTGGGTGGAGGGAGTGGACCAGTGGAGAACATGACTATAGAGAGAGATGGAGACTGCTATTGGATTGGCAAAGCTCCAGTCTTTTCCACTGTACCACTTCAGGTGACTCTTACTTTCATAGCATTATGCCGTGCAGTGCTATGATTCAAAAGGAAATTTGGCACCGCCATTTGTTTTTAATTGGTGGAAGAGCAGCATGATAAAATAGATTGACCTTTTAAGGAATTCTGACATTTAAAAGATTTAAAATAGCTATTAAAATGCAAAGAAAAAATTAAGTCATTTCTATTTTTTTTTCTCTTGCCAGGAGCTGAACCTCTCATTTCAGGACCTGGGTGATCTTTACCAGGTGGAAAACTTCAGAAGGATTCTCCAAAGATTGATACGGGTGGAAAAACTTTGGTTGGTGGACAATTCTTTGACAGACCTAAGTGCCATACGGTTGCCAAGGTAGACAAGATGTCCTGCTTATCTTTTTTTTTTTTTTTGGATTATAGAAATCAAAACTGTTATTTACTTAAGTAATGTCCAGAGCAAACCCTTGAAAACTGATTAAATATGATATTTTGGAGATTATTATATGGGGAAAACATCACTGTATTTCTATTCTGAATTCACTCTATGCTGAAATTGAAGATACTCAGTAAAAGGTGATGTCTGCTTTATTTCTGGTGGATAATGAATTCACGCATCTTACTAAGTTCAGTGATATTTTTGCTAAAAGAGAACGTGTTAAACAGTGAAGATATGGTGAGAGGCCAGGTGTTACGATTACAACTATTTTACTACGCATCCATTGCTATTCTGATGTCTTGTGCCTAAGAATACTGAAAGTTATAACAGAGAGAACAGGAATAATGATGTATCTTTTATAAAATGCAGCGAAAGCTGAGAGTGTAAAGGAAGGAGATCTGATCTTGCCGACCTTGGTTAGCAAAAGTAACACAAGTATAAAACAAGTGTGAGAGCAGGTCCTTCAGAATAAAATTCTTGTATGCCTTGTTGGAAACTCTAAGATGCCATGACTTCAGGTAGACGAAGAGCCATCCCTGTGTTGACTTACAGGTATGTACTATTACAGATGTGATCAGTGATGTCATATGCTTTGTTCTTTACAGATGCAGAGAACTAAACGTCAATAAAAACTACTTTACATCATTCAGACAGCTGCCAAAGTTACCTCAGATTCAGCACCTGTCACTGGCTGAAAATAACATTATGACGCTGAGTGGAATATCGGACTTGAGACATACTCCACTTGAATCCCTTATACTCAAGAGGAATCCTTGTGAGTTTCAAGAAAGCTACAGGCAACAGTAAGTCTTACCATCTCATGCACACTTGGATGTTCACATCCTTGTTTTGTTCTTCCCAGCTGGTTTTGACTCCAAAACCCTGTTGCTAAAAAGAAAAAATTACACTTAGGTCAGAAAGGGTAATAAGTGTGAGTCCTTACGAACTCCAGTAATACACAGAGCTGGGCATTTTTCCCAACTACAAACGTTGAATCTAGTCAGCCATCTGCAACAGCGTGGATGATATTTTTTGAGAAAAACATGTAAACGTGTTCATTAGAAGTCCTCTTTTCCTACAAAGGTAAAAAAAAAGGTATGAACATCTTTAATGAAAGCTTTTCCGAATTTCCAGTAGGCTTTGTACTGCAGCCTTGTAGACATTCCTTTGCTAATGTGATGGTAATGCTTGTGCTTTTAAGCATAGATAGGCAGATATCAAAGTGCCAGTTAAAAGTTACCTTTAAAATAATGAATTTCACATTTTATTTACATATTAAAAAAAAAGATCCAGGGGAAGAAACGCTGAAGAGCACTTTTTAGTAATTACTATTTCTATGCCCCCAATCCTATGAGCATTTAAGTCAATTAAATGTACATAATTCTGGCACTGCTTTCACTGACAGTGTTGGAGGACAGAGAGAATCCTTTTCACGCACTGAGAAAACTCTGATCACGTGTATCGAGAATGAGCCCTGCAATCCATGCTCACCTCAGAAGGTTCAGAGCAAATGGCACAGCATGTGGGTTAAGGCCCTGTGTAATGCTTTCAGGATGCTATGACTCTTCTTCTAAGGAAAAAATAGAGTGGTCTTATTGACCAAGATCAGCGATACTGATACTCTGCTTGAAAGGAGCGGAATAATGGGAGGTACAACCATTCATTTCTCTTTGGCACCGTGCCCACAGAAGTGCAGAAATCTTTGCAGAGAGCCCAGTTTCTCTATCGCAGGAGGATGAAAGCTGAGCTGTGCGTCTTGCAGTGTGAATCCTTGATTTTCAGCAGTCCAGGAATTTCAGTGTAGGCTAGTACCTTGTGCTCTCTTTTACAACTAGACAGCTGGTTTGGTTCTTCTCCATTCAAAATGTAGATTCCCGAGGTGCTTTCCAGAATTTGATGATATAAAAATTGGACAGCAGAATGAAAACTGAAATTTATAACTTAGTTCTTTACCAAATAAATTCAGCAACAAATGCCAAATCAAGGTTTCCATCAGTGCAATCATATCTGAATATCATTGAATTTGCTGATTGTTTTTCATCAGAGCCTACTTCATTCGCAAGATCTGAAAGAATATTTGTCTCAATTTCTATTATTCTTTCGTCTCCTTTTCAGTGTATTCTCCAGTTTGCCAAATTTGAAAGTACTGGATGGTGTCCCAAAACTGCCAGAGGACTATTCACCCCCAGATACCAGTTTTTTCCCCAGAATGTGCACTGTACTCTAGCACTGTATGTGTGGGATCACAGCTGTGCTAGAATCACCTTACTTAAAAGAATCAATAAATTCTGTACATGGAAACTTCTATATTTTTGGGCATTGAATCAGAAATACTATTTTTTTGAGCGTGCTCTTGATACTGCAGTCATCAAGTAAGTATTGATAACTGGATTATAAATAAAACACGATATGTATGCTGAATGTCATGGGTTTCACATATTTAAAATACTGGCTGACTTTCTGGTCTAGGAACTCTGTGTAAAAGATAACCCACAGTTATTGACTTGCATTGCATTCACCAAACACATGTCCCACTCCAGACCAGGTGTCCAGTCTGGGAAGTGATGCAGGGATCAGTGTCCAGGTTGCTAAGGGAAAAAAGTGAACAGAAGAACTACTGACAAAGCAGAGCACAAAAAAAGAAGTCTGTCAGCTGATTGCTGGTGTTGTGTAGGAATGTCTTACTGTTTACTAAAGGTTCCTCTGCCCAAAGCTACAATGAGGAAAAAGAGCTGTAGGAGCACAAAAGGGGTTTGTCAGGGCTCCCCGGGGTATCTGAATGCAATTATCTGTGAGGGGTGCCTGTCCTTGTCTTTGATTCATTTCCTGCTCAATTTTAGCTCTTCTTCCAGGCAGCTCATGCTGGTGCACAAATAGCTATGCCCTTAATGGCTCAGGAAGAGAATGACAGAGTCCTGGAAAATAAAGACAATTAACAGGATTGCCTAATTCCACAGACAGTCAATAAATTCTCTGCTGTGTATTGGCTGTGGGCACGGTTTGGTTCAATTAACAGAGCGAGGAATAATGAGTGCTCAGCCTTGCATGTTCTGAGTGCACAGAAAGGCTGCAGCTCAGTCTGTATTGGATTGGGGCAAGAGGAACAGCCTGGGAAAGTACAGCTCTCCTGCAGCTGAGCGGTCCAACCAGTCTGTCCCAGCAGTGCATGACCTAAGATCACACAATTCTGCTTGTGTAATAGTGTCTAGCTCAATCTATGTCCTAACGTTGTGCAAGGAAAAAGGCTGTGGGCTGCTGCAAAGAGGTGTCAGGATTAGGGCTCACCTTGATACAGTTCGACAAGCTTTCACAGATCCGGAGAACAGACACGGTTTCCACAGAAACAAGAAGGCAACCAGGGCTTTGAGACAGGCAAAGTAAAGCAGTGTGTGCTGTGCAAATGGGTCCAGAAGAGCGTCTTTCCCACAGAGAGGAAAAGAGCAGAAAAGTCGAAAACTTCCTGAGGAGTTAGGCTGGTATGCTGTCTCGAGTCTAGAGATTAACCCAAAAATAGGATAATACAGCGATCAACATAAAACCCGACTGCTGTACTTGGAAAGTGTGAAAACAGGATCTTCTCAGTTGAGGAGGAATGTGAGAAAGCACCGCCTCCGAAAGTAGGTAGGCATGGGGGAGACGCTGTCACGCCTTACACCTGTAATCAGGAATGGGTTGGTTGTCTCCACTAAACTCCCTCAGAGCTTTGATCTCGTGACCTGAGCCCTGAGTTGGTCACAGGCAGAGGAACAGACACTGATCTGTGATTTCCCGGTGGAGAGATCCTTCCTCCTTCACCATTTTTCCTGTCATTATTTGGGTTGTTCGGGCTTTGCAGTCCCTGAGGATCACAAGATGATATCCTGGCAGTCCTGCTGATCTTATTTAAAGTGCATCCAGGAAGAAGAAAGCACTGGTAATGTTTGAGTCACTTTGCTGCAATGAGATTTAAATGAGATGTTCACTATCAGCCATATCACATGGGAAACTGGGGAGAAAGAGCAATTACATTCCAGCTGCTTGGCTGGACAAAAGCCACAAGGCAGAGGAAGCACGCTGGACACATTTCAACATCTCCAGTCAGCTAGAAACCCCAGCAGTGAGAACCTTTTGAAAGTGGCCAAGCCACGGATAAATTAATACATATTTTAGACTCTAAATTAGATTATTACCGGCTAGCTTTCTTTTTCTGCAAAACTTACACTCAGCTCAGCTTTGACATTCCTTAAGGGGAAGTTCTAAGCCTGCCCTGTATCAGTGTCCCAGGCCCAGCACCGCTGAGGATGGATTGCGTGCCATGGTCAACACTTGGCTTGGAAGGATTTGCTGCATCTGCTATGAGGAGAAGAAATTTGTTTTGTTATTCTCTTATCTCAAAAGATGGGCTTTTGGCTTAGAGCATGTTGGAGTCATGAGAAATACCTGACCAAGCCCAAGAGGAGATGGACCAGCAGCAAATTGGGTTCTCCTCCCTTGTTTTCCATAGTTATGTTATGGAATGGTCTAATCTAAACCTTACCTATGATTCTGAGAAAACCTGGCAGTAATGGTACAAAAGTAGAGCTCTTATTTTGCTTGAGCTTTTCAGATCTCATTTACCGTGATTACACTCTGAAATCTAGAATAATAGCTACCACTTTGGAGCCTGTATTTGAAGTACCACAAAATCAGCTGTGATCTGCTATTTCTGATTATCCCCAAAGCTTCAAACCTGACTTTTCATGAAAAGCTAACTGTTTTTCCAAAATTTTGCCTAATATTTAGCAGAAATGCTTCCTGTGATTTCAGAGCTGCAGGAGTGCAGCTTTATTTGATGTGGAAGGAGGGAAGGGGGGAGGGAAGTACTTACAAACCAGGGAGCAGGTTACCAGAAGGGGCATGGTGAGGCTGATCATTTCTGGGAAGCAGAACACCCCCCATTTCCCTCGAGGACCTCTTTCTGAGGATCAGTCTATGTTCATTTGTGTCACCATTTCCTTCCTGACGGATTAAAATCAAATGCCTTCTCCTTTGTGTGATGCACTTTTCAATCACTGCCATTTAAATTTTGCTGCTCAGTAAAGAACCTTCATCATTTTCGATGGTTTCCTGGCTATATCAGCATTCCAACTAAAAATGAATTTAGTGAATATGCAGACTGATGTTTTAATCTGTCTGGATACATGCATGAGACACACAGAGGCACATCGGCAGGAAGCATGGGTGGAAAAAAAAGCTATTAAGATGTCTCTCAACATTCATTTTTCATTTCTAACCTATCATCCAAGATACATTTGCTTTGGAATGGCCAGATATCATGTTGCATTATGTGACTGGACGCACTGAAGATAAGGAGAAAAAGCCATTGACAGCATATGCTTTGGATAAAAGCAGCCATAAAAGTAAATGTAACAACCATAGCAATGACGAGTCAAGCACGGATAGTAACAAATCAAGAATAACCAGAAATTTCATGAATAGTCAAACTACAGGAAACTGTGCAGTCAGCCCTGGGGAGTGAAATCCAAGCCTTCCCCCTCCCCCCCAAAGAGATCATTTTGCTTTTATTATGTGTTAACATGTTTCTCACTTCTAATCTTTGTACAGCCTGTTTCATATGTGATTCATTACTACACTTATTCTTCTCAACCTGAGCACTGAGCCAGTTCAAGGATGTTTCTGTTGAGATGAACTGACGATGAAGTCAGACATTCCTCTGATGCAACTTTAATTTTCTGTACTAAATGTACGAAGCTCCATCTTTCTGAACACAAGGGAAGCCAAACAGGAGACTGCATCTGCCCTGGGGGCTCCGAGCCCTTTTTCACCCCGTACTCAGCTCTCAGCATTACACATCTTTGAGCTTCATTCCCTGGGGACTTATCCTTCATCTTTCTCTTTGTTAGCTCAGTGTGGCAACAAAAACCTTCATCATGTTGGTCTGATGCTTCCCTCGAGCATGATACGCCAGCCCAGGATGCCTTTGGTTGCTTAGGATGCTGTGAGCTTTTTGTTACGTCTCAACCCCAACTGTTTGCCTCCTCCACCATATCCCCAGTTCCACCTTCAGCTACACCACTGTGCTTGGTGTGTTTGGTGTGGTGAAGACAAAGCAAGTCTGTGGGTGGAGCAAGAAGTTCTGTGGATTTAAAAGCATCTGTAAAAGAATTTAAATAAAGCAGGCCTCCATCCTGTGTGAGCTATCCCTCATTAATCTTTCAGAGTTTTTTGTGAGGACAGGTGGCTAATTCAGGGCACGAGATTATTGAAGAGTGCAATCTGGAGGACATGTAACATCAACAGTATCTAAAGGCAGGTTAAGGAGCTCAGACCTGCTGCACTTCACTCTGTTTAATGTTTTACCACTGATTCTAACTTGAAGTATTGGCATTCTGTTTTCCTCTGCTGGTTTGGGTTTTTTAGTGTCTTAGTTTAAACATGACAACAAATACAACTCCGAAAGCACAGCTTAAGTTCAGAAAGTATAGATCTATGCCTTTAGAGAAATTGGACTATAACATCAATTTAACTACAGAGAGAAGCAGTCAAAGGAGTTGTCATGTCCTGTGTGGTACAGAAATGTTCTAAGTAGCTGAGTGCCTAATTATTATGATGGTGATGGGTTGATGGTTGGAATTAATGATCTTAGGCATATTTTCCAACCTCCACGATTCTGTGATTATATTTGTCAGCTTGGACATGCTGGACTAATTCTGAGACAAATTTCTCTCCTGATACAGTCCTGTTTATTGTAGTTGGATGTGTTTATCACACAGATGTCCGCCTATTATTGAAAAGGCCGCAGCTGAGCCTACCCTAAACCTGCCTTTAAATTTTTTGGTCTTCACATTCTTATTGAAGAGTAATGTTTGAGTGCTGGAGGGGTTCAGGTGCTGGCTGCAGGATAATTTCAGCACAACACAGGTGAGTTTATCAGGACCAACCTGTCTGAGTCCATACATAGCTGCAGAGGAGGTGGGCAAGGGCTGGATGAGTACTGAAGAGGTGTTTCTGCTCTACAATGTAATGCTTTGGCAGCCCAGATGATGCACTGCAGTGTCTCCTTTGTAATGGTGATGCAGTGCCCAGTTATCATCTCATTTGCAACCTCAGATGTACCTGAAAAGGTAATGTCTTCTGTTGTATTAACAGTGGGAAAAGTTTAGATGGGTAACTAAAGCCTCAAATATCCCAAATACCTACAGTCACAACAAAATATAATGTGACACAGTAAGTGTGTATGTATTTAATTAACATCAAGCAGCTTAGAAGTATGTGCAACTGGAAGGGGCAGCTCATACTTCAAGACCTTAGCAGCATGGTGTGG